AAACTATATAATGATCAAATTATGAACATATAGTTCTGTGATTTGTGAATACAGAGTTCAACAATTGAGAATATGAACATCGAAAATTATGAACATAAAGTTCTATAATTGCAGGGACGGAGCCAGAAATCTTGAGTTGGGGGGGCCGATGTAGTAGAGTAAATTTACAATGTTAGTCGACATTATAATTAATTGTACCATATTATTATATATATCATACATTATTGTGTTATTATTGGTAATAATTTCTAATTATACTGTGTGTAATAAAGTATGAAATACATAATTATATGAGTACGAGTGTTGATTATTACCAGTGTTGCAAAAATAGCACCTAGGCGCCGATTAATCGGCGCCTAGGCGCTAGGTGGTCGGCCACCTAGGCGCCCTAGGCGGTCCCCAGACGCCTAGAGGGCGCCTAGCGATTTTTGCAACCTTGATTATTACTTTAGAAAATTTTCACATAACACAATATAATAATAACAATAACAACAACATTTATTTAAATATAGATTGTCACTTAATATCAAATAAAAAGTTTTGTCACCAAAATTTTTCATAATTAACTGATATTCATTTTACTAACTAACTGAATATTTCAAAATTTGATAGATAAAAGACAAAAATCAAGACGAATTAAATAAATATTAATGGCCAGTTGCAAATCAAATAAGATTTTGAAATCTTAGTCTTGAAATTTTTGTTTAGAGCGTGCAGATACTTTGGTAGGATTGTTATGCCGTAGAACCATGTCCACCTTGCAAGTTGGACACGATTCTATGTCCATAATTACTGAATTCTATGTTCATAATTTTTGAACTTCATATTCACAATTATATTATTGAACTCTATATTCACAATTACAGAACTCTATGTTCATAATTATAAAACTCTATGTTCATAATTTTTAAACTTCATATTCACAATTATTGAATTCTATATTCACAATTATAGAACTCTATGTTCATAATTATAGAACTCTATATTCATATTTTTTAAACTATGTATTCTTAATTATGAACATTTTTGGAACTGTGTCCACCTTACAAGGTGGACACGGTTCCACATTATAATTTGCGACTTTGGTAAGGGGACTAAAAATATAATATACTATTAATAACCTTTTGGGGTGGGGGATGGGGCCTGGGGGGCCAAGGGCCCAAAGTCCCTAATTACCAAAGTTTCTCTAAATCTTATGCCCTATTAATATTAATAAATTTTTTTTTGGAGGGGGGGGGCCAAGGCCCCCTGTAGTAACCATCTCCCTCCGTCACTGTATAATTGTGAATATAGAATTCAATAATTATGAATATGAAGTTCAAAAATTATGAATATATAACTTTATAATTATGAACATATAGTTCAGTAATTATGAACATGAAATAGTATACACCATGCATGGTGTACACAATTGCACATCATAATTCCTCACCCCCACCCCCCACAGAAAATGAGTAGACTCAAATCTAACAGCTGTGTCAGCTGTCATATTCCTTGACAACATCAATGATCTTTGCAAATTGCAATATCCTCAATATATTTAGTTTTCTTTTGGGCCGTGTCGTTTTCAGCCCAATAATTTATTAATCAAGGCCTTAGGTCCTTTTTAACTTATTTACGGGCCAAAGCCCAAATGCTAATCCAGTTGGGTCATTTTGTTTGCAATCGTTATACCCTGCACGGCTGTACCACGGCGCACATAGCACTGTGCGTCCCGCGCCTCTCAAAACAACATCGTTTTGGTAAGTTATGTAGGAAGTTGACGTGATTATGTGTATTTGTTTATACAATTATGTATATTTTTTTTTATATACAATTGTGTACATCCGAAACAGGAAATTTATGCGTATTAAGAGTTTATGGTATTATGTTAAAAGTTTATGTGTATTATGTATTATGTTAGATTATGTGTATTATCTTTTTTTAAAAAAAGTATGTGTATTTTGTTATACAATTATGTACATTCATGTATACATTTATGTGTATTCTAGTATAAAATTATGTACATTTTTTAACATGAGATTTTTTATTTTAAAAGAAAATTAACCGCCAATACAGGGTAGCGAAATTACAAAAATAAAAAATAAAAATAAAAATAAAAAAATGACACGGCGTCGTTTTGCATCAGGACACACAATTCAATGCGCACCTTGGTGCACGATATAAATTGCCTTTTATTTGTGTTTTTCTTTTCTGTGTTAAGAAAACAATTAAAAGTGAAGATGATGAAATATTCAACCTTAATTGTCAAACGCAAATTATTTAGTGGACCCTGATCCACATTACAAAATGGATCTGGGTCCAAATGTTCACAATTTACATACTGAATGTTCACAATTTACTTTTTAAAAACTCACAATTTGTATATTACGAACACACAATGTTAACAAATATGTAATTGATTACCTTATTTTGTATTCACAAGTTCTTTTCAAATACTGCACTCACACAATATTAACAGATTATGATTTAATGACCATGTATTGTATTCACAAATTTCCCTATACAGTTGTTTTTTACCTTAGAAACATAATTTATATTCTAAAAGTTTACAATTCCAATACTAAAAATACATAATTTATACGTCGTTTAGGACCAGGGTCCACCTTAGAAGGTGGACCATAGCCCATGGTATCACGACTTATTGGGATTGTTATGCTGTGCATCCGTATGCACCATGCATGGTGCATACGGATGCAAAAACGACGTCGTTTTATTAAAAACGCGCATCCCACTTAAAAAAAATTCAGTTTCGATTCTGGAATTTTAGTTCATTGATTATGGATATTTAGACGTGAATCGAAACTGATTTTTTTTCATTCATGCTGTATATTTAGTTCATTCATTATGGATATTTAGTTCATTCATTATGGATTTTTAGTTCATTCATTCTGAAATTTTAGTTCATAGATTCTGGAATTTTAGTTTATCGATTCTGAAATTTTAGTTCGTTGATTCTGGATATATAGTTCAAATTATGCACAATATAATGTTGTTGCTGGGAATCGAAACTGAATTTTTTTTTAAGTGAGACGCGCGTTTTTAATAAAACGACGGCGTTTTTGCATCCGTATGCACTATGCATGGTGCATACGGATGCACAGCATAATTTGCCCAACTTATTATCATAAGAGCAAGGCCATTGCAAAATTTTGGGTGGATTTTCGTCACATTTTTGGGGTGGGGAAGAGAAAAGAGGAGGATCACGATTTGATTTCAATTTGATAGGCGGTTATGGTGTTATGTTTTAGGGCAAATTATGGGGAATACCACATGACTTTTAAAGACTTTCTAAAAATCATAACCGAATACCACATAACTTTTAAAGACTCCTTAAGAATCGTAATTGAATACCGCCTGACATTTAAAGACTATCTCAAAGTTTGAATTGAATACCTCCAAACTTTTAAAGTTCATAAAAGTCTTTAAAACTCTGTGAAAGTCATGATTGAATACACCCCCCTTATTCAGTACATATTCTGGAATAATGATTATGGATTTCTTTTGTGATCCAAAGAAGTGAGTAACACATTACACAAAAATAACAAATGTGTTAATCGCTTGGTTAACTTAAACTAAGTTTGCAATTTGGAAACTATGGGTATGTTTACTAACAGAAAATTGTTCTATGTTTTCTATTTTATGTTTTTTAATTTTTCAGTTTTCGTTCTCTGCTGTTTAGAAAACTTGTTTATTAACAGAAAAATATTCTCTGTTTTCTGTTTTTTAATTTTTCAGTTTTCACTTAAAATTTAGTTTAGATAATATTAATATTTTTCGAGCTAATATTTAAAATATTTTGTTTGGATATATTCATTTGAATGACATGTATATGAGTGTATAACTTTTACTTTGAATTCTAATATATGTGAGATTTCAATATCTGATATCTGGACCGAACTTATATTATGATGTAACATATTTAAAAATATTCGAACTAATAATCTATTGAGTTCAATATAATCAAAATCTAAAACATTATATAGAGTTTAATTCTTAATTTTGATAATGTAAATAATGTCTAACTTTAAAGTGTAAGCAAATAAATTATGTTTAAATAAGTAAAGTAAGTAGAAAAGATAGAAGATAGTGATAAGTAAAATAAGATGATAATAAATGTAATCATAGTAATGTGGTTATTGTGACATATAACTAAATAGATGATAGATGATTCTGTTTTCCATTTCAAAAACAGTTTTTAAATGTGTACCACACTGCTGGAAATCTCGCGTTTTCCGTCCAACAATTGTTGGACGGAAAACGCGATATATTGGTCGAAAATGACGTTTCCGTCCAACATACCGACCAAAAGGAACGTTCGGAAAAACCTCCGTGGGAAATTCCGTCCAACTATGATTTTTGGTCGGAAATAGCGTTCAACAAACAAAAATTGGACGAAGGCAAGTATCCCACCATTTTAAAACGTGAGAATTTCCGTCCAACCATGTGCGTTGGTCTAAAATTCCGTCCAACTATATGCGTTGGTCGGAAATTTCGACCAATGTTGGATGGAAAACTCACATATTATATTTTGTAATTTTCCTTCCAACTGTTGGTAGGAAAATCTTAAATCATATAGAATGTTTTTATTATTTTTATATTACCAAAATTTTATTTATATATGTTGTAAATAAATTATATGTCATCAACAAATTAATGGACACACTAAATTGAAACTTGAAAATATATTTAAACATCAAAATTCTTTACAACAAAAATTATGGTCATGTTCATAAATTAAAAAAAAAAGTCATGAAAATATATACTAAATTGATACTACTTAAGTATGTTGCACCCAAATAAGCCTTCAAATCCGGCACTACTTCAATGGCTTTGATCAATGAAGCATCCACAACCTTCTTCAATGACTTTGATCAAGTGTAGACCTTCACCAAAATTAGACCGTGATAGATTTCAAAATGCAAAAATCATACAGAAAACATAAACAATACTTGGAAAAACAAACTTAGAAGTCTTTTCCTCTCTTGCAACTGCATATGATCCAGCAGCAACAAAATCATCATAAGCAACCTGAGATAAACATTTCATCAATTAAACTTAAAATGCACCACCATCCATCAAAAGCACCCATACATGTTAGGGATATTCATGTTCTGACCAAAACCAATCACCTTTCAAACTCATGGTATTCTTGAGGGAACTATTTTAGATACCTATGCATTTTACAAAATGATTTATGTTTAAGTAGGGGGTGTTCGAATTATTCTGTCCTGTAATCCACACAACACAAAAGTCATCTACAATCAATGCTTTAATGTTAAAACTTTGTCTAGTATACATTTACTACAATTTTTTAAACATTTGACCTGATTTCTAAGCTCCATGATCCTTGGTTCTTTTTCTAGATTTTCCCCTGTACAAGATGTGAGTTTAAAATGCATTTGTATATAGCATTTTTAAAAGAAACAGTTTCATGACAAAACTGGCTAGGAACTTACTAGCAAGCTGCAAAGTTTGATTACGAAGCTCATCCCTTACCTATTAGAAAATTAATAGACACGACGAAATAGTCAGACAGTTTAAACAATACAAGATTTTCACTCAGCACTCTGGCTTAAACTCAATAAAAACACAGATTTATGATTCAATATTCAGGTATATTATGATACTTTACCTCAGAAATCTCATGGCCCAAACATTACGAACATGAATGACCTTTGAAGGCTCAGTCATTTTCAATGGCCTGAACTGTAAAAGCCATGTTAAACTTTGGAAAACGACAAAAGCAGTGACCAGAACATGGAAAAAATCTGAATGTGATGGAAAGAAACAAACTTTGGATTAAACTAGAAAAGCCTATTATCTTTACAAGACTAGCATCCAAACAACCTTCTGAACTCTCTATAGTCTATAAAGCCAAAAGAGCATGAACCTGTCTACATTGACAACCCACTTAAGCATAAAATTTTCAATTTACTTGTTGCTACTAACCTGTCTCACCCCAAGGGTAGCTTGTAGAGGAGTGAGTCACGATGCATCTAAATGACTAAGTTGCACAGAACATCGGAAATAGCAACTACAGTAATGGATCCTTGAAAACAATGTTAGATGTTTTAGTCATTCAACATTGAAGTAGTAATGTGAGTGAAAGAGAAATCAACACAAAACCTATATTATTATACTCACTATATCAAATTAGGCAATTTCTTTAAGTTGCTAAAGTTCATGAAACTGGAAATGGGGTCAAAATTAATTCCTAAGAAGCAACTTTCCAGTTTCCTATATGCATTAATAAAAAATCTAGAAAAAGCTAAACACTAAATCAAATTCATTCCACACTTTCCAGCATTTTAAATTCATCAAACTAAATAAGCCTCCTAACCCAAATCCAAAATCTTTTGCTATTCCAAATTCACAAACTATACAGACCAAACACAACATTCAGTGCGCAAGAATTACAAAAAAAAAAAAAAAAAAAAAAAAAAAAAAAAAAAAACAAAAAACAAAAAACAAAAAACAAATAAAAACAAATAAAAACAAAAAAGGGTTAAAAAACATTAACAATAAACTTCAATCAGCAAAAACTCAAAGAAAGAGAGGAAAAGAATGAAGTTTAGCATAAACCAAGACTCATCCATCATCCATCTTCCAGCGAGTATATTTTGAGCGAAAAGAAAGCGAAGTTGCCCAAATCTGAACCGTCACCGAAAGAAAGAGCATTTAGAGCAAAAAGAAAGCGAATCCGTCCAGATCTGAGCCGTGCAGTTTGATTTTAGAGATTAGAAGAAATAAATTACAAAAAATTCGAAGGGAGACTTACCAGCGGTGGTGGAGGCTAGCAGTGGCGGTGGCATCTACTGCAGGTCGCGGCGGTTCACGGCTTCGAATAAGAGGGCGGAGCGAAGGAGCGTCGGCTGAGAGATAGAGAGTGACGATGGAAGAAGCCCTAGATCTTGATTTAATTTGCTAAGTATTTGGTTTGCGACTTGGGACTTGGGACTTGGGAGAATGCAAAAGTGGTTTTTTGGCTTCCCTCAGATCTGATTTAGTTTTATAAAAAATAAAAAAAATAAAAATATGCGGGGGACTTTTCGCGGCACCTTCTTCAGGAGTGTTAAATTTCTTACCATTTTTAATTTATACCTATTAGTCAATTTGAGTTTACCAACCAACAATACAGGTTGGACAGAATTTCCTTCCAACATTGGATGTTGAACGGAATTTCCGTCCAACGCGCGAATGTTGGACGGAACTTCCGACCAACTTTCCGTCCATCCTTCTTTTGCGATTGAAAGTTGAAGTTTTTATTAAAATACCGACCAACTTACGGTTGGACGGAAATAGCGAGATTTCCAGCAGTGTCCAGTTTTCCAAAAATTTTCAGAAATTATTTTCAAATTTCAAAATGAAAAACTCTGTTAGTAAACATGTTTTCTATAATTTTAAAAAATTTTGAGAAATTTCCAGTTAATAAATGCTCGTACAAGTCTTGATGAGTCATCGGATAGTCTTGTGAACTTGATAAGACCATATGGGAGAAGAACAGATAGACCACGCAGGTCAAATATTAATTAGAGTGCCAGACAACTTTTGTTTTTTTGTTTTGTATTGCTTTCTTTATTGGTGTAACTTTTCTTCTCCCATTATTGGTGTAACTTTCATTCTTACGTATGATGTTCCCAAAAAAAAAAACAAAAAACAAAAAACAAAAAAACGTAGGCAAATAAGATAAAGCCGATTATTGATAATTGATCATCACAATTTTCTCGTGTAAAATAAATTTATTAAATTTTAAAATATTCGGGTAGATGGGTGGAGACGGAGACAACCCAGTCAAATGGTTGACTTGATAAAATGATAATTATAAAGTTTTAAGTTCGATAGCTATAGATAAACTTGAGTTGTTTTATCACAATGTTAATTTATCTCATTATAGTTTTTTACCGACTATAGTTACAATATATGTTTCATTCAGAATTTATATTCAGATAACGATTACAAGTATTTTTTTGAAAAAATTTTTAAATCAAATTATAGTATTAGATGCCTCACACTTGTCTGGCAAATCTTTATTATTTTTTAATGATTGATTTCTATACAAATCCTTACTGCCAACTCAGCATGTTCCTGGTTGATGATATGCTCTAAAGATTTGCCGCTCGAACGGTTTCTAATCTCCACCTAACTCCGACTATTATTTAACGATATTACTTAACCCTCTTGAACTCTAATAATTTGAGTTTACGTAGTTGACAATCATATCCGAAATGAGTTTGAGTAGTTCGCTAGGTTTAGTAAATTTAGTTGAAAAGATAGCTGGAAGCTTTTAAAAAGAGTTAAAAGTTGAAAAATTATAAGCTAGAAGCTGAAAACTGAATAGTTGTTAAAATTAATTATTATGCTTGAAAGTGTTTTGGTAAAATTAGCTTTTTGATAATTTGATAAATGTAAAAAGACAAAAAAAAGACATATTCATAAAATTTAAATTAGTTTGTTTACATATTAAAATTCAACATTTTGTCTTCAAAAAAAATTTAACAATTTGAAATAAAATTATTAGCACAAACATGATCTAGCATCCATAATGAAGTAGCAATATTGTTGTGAATCTCCATCATCTCATAATAATAATAATAATAATAATAATAATAATAATAATAATAATAATAATAATAATAATAATAATAACAACAACAACAACAACAACAACAACAACAATAATAATAATAATAATTGCGGTAAAAGTTGAGGATAAAGGAGAAGAGAAAATGATTTTAATTAAAAATGGTAAATTATGTCATTTCTTTAAAATAATAAGAACAAAGTTGAAAAAAAAAAATAATAGGAAGCTACTAGTTTATTTTGAAATGCTACCCAAGGTAGGTTCCAAAATAAACTCTTATTTTAAGTTACAAGCTTATTTTTGAAACATTACCAAACAATAATTATACCTTATTAGTAGCTTAAAATAAGTTATAATTTAAGCTCCTAAATAAATTATGTCAAACAGACTCAATAATATACGTAATGAACTTGAGTAATAGTGAAAATCCACGCTATACACACAAATTATATTATATTATATTTACTAAAATAATAATGTAAGAAGCTAATAATTAGACAATAAAATAGTCTAAATAATTAAAATACATATTAATCCAAAGTTTTAAAGTTAATAATGAACTTAGTTAATCTCAAATAAAATTGGTTCAAAGTTTTAAAAATTCACCCACCGAGGTCAACTGGTCATAGAGGTGAAACTTTGGAAGAATGACCAGGGATCGAGTCTCACCAGCGGCGCGCAGTGAGCACCGGTCTAACCTCTGTGATTAATGTTCAGTTGAGTCACCATGATTTACAACTTCCCACCGCTTTGTTGGGCCGGGGTGTGGGGGGCCCTTAGGGTTGGGGTTCAGAAGAAAAATTCAAAATGCAAAAAGGTTGGTAGCGGTAGGCCTATGCGGTCTATCTCGAATTCTACTAGACATATTCTAAATTCCTATTTCCTTAGAGCAAATTAATTGGTTGATTTTTATTTTTATCATTATTTTTAGTTTTTGTTGGAAAAATAGAGCTAAGAGAGAGAAAATAATAGAAAATTAGAGAATTTAGTGTAATCGTCAAATCAAGCGGATGCATGAAAGACACGTACCTACTGGGCGTGTAAGTTATGCCCATATGTGACTTCAATATTATTACTTTTTTTTTTCAAGTATGAACAAACTCTCCATTTTTTTTTTTTGAAAACAACAAACTCTCCATTTAGCAATACAACTCTTCTCCCCTCTCCCATTTCTCCTCCAACTTGGAAAAAACCTAACCAAAATCGTTTTTTTTTTTTTTTTTTTTTTTTTTCAAAAACTAACTAAAAGCAACAATAGTGGTAGAACTCAAATTTGAGTTTTTTTTTTTTGTCAGACTAACAAAAAGAGAAAATGAGGAAATAATAATAATAATAATAATCGGTCGCCAACTAGGCGCCCAAGTTACACCTATGCATGACTTGAGCTTCTTTTCTTATTTTTTTTTTCTCGGATAAAAAAACCAAACTTAGCATATATAATAAACATATCTCACTCTTTACTTTCTTCTCCATTCGTGTGGGTCGTATAAATAAAGAAGGTATACCGTATACATCAAGAGTTTGAGTGTATAGTAGAAGTAAACTTGAGAGTCCATGTATTATTTTTCGTTTATTTCTTGTATTTTGAAAGTAGTGAAACCAATATTCAAATTCAGTGGTTTCAATATATTAAATTTAATATTATTCTCAATAATATATATAGAAATATAAATATAAATTATAAATTATATTTATAAATTTTTAAATATAAATTATAAATTATATTTATAAATTTTAAAAAACTAATTAAGATTGGGTCAAAATCACTTAATTGGACTATAATGTATATGGGCCTATTCGTTAATATAACTCATGGATTTATAATATGAATGTGGGACTCTTAACACCCTCCCCCTAAGTGGACTGAACAAGCTCTGATACCATGTTATATTGGGCAATATATTGCAGATGGGCCAAATCACATTAAAATATTGAATCCAACCTATTAACTAGTCTAACGCATGGTATAATAATCTCATATATTATCTCTTATTGTATAAATGTGGGACTCTTAACATAAATAAATGTTTTCATTTTACAATTGTCCACGATGCGTTTTCATACTTTAAAAACACTGTATAATTTGTTCGTTATCAACAATGTTTTCTAACACATCCTTTTCAATAAAAGTATTCAAACAATCATTCATCAAGTTATCTACCATTCGATTGCGCAATATATTCTTCACTATCTTCATTGTTGAAAAAGTTCTTTCAACACTTGGATTCGCCACCAGTAATATTAAAGCTAATTTCACAAGTAAACAAACTAATGAATATACACTATTTTTCTTTGTCTCCAGTAGTTTTTAACAAGAGAACCAACATCTTCGATATTGAAAAATGCATGTTAGACCACACAC